CACCCTGCGCGTTCGGATCGGCTTCCTTGTTGAGTAGCAGCTTTACTACCTGCTCGTGGCCTCCAGATGACGCTGCCTGGAGTGCGTTGCCGTACGTTCCACCCTGCGCGTTCGGGTCGGCGCCCTTGTTGAGTAGCAGCTTTACTACAGCCTTATAAAGGATCGGCTTCCGGGTACTAAGCTTGCCTAACTTTAACTCGTCATAACCCCTGTAAGACAGATACGGAAGCTTACCTCTATTAAGCTAGCTAAGAACGTATAGAATTCCTCTTTCACGCTTACTATAAGCGTATTTTTCGCTGTAGCTAATTCGGAAAGATATGAATTTGGGCATGCAGGCATGTTAATTTATTATCGAGTTGGCAACCCCGCACTCTCAACGGCTGAGGCTGAGTAATGTCCGATAGATAAGAATAAATCCATATTATATCGCCCTCTCCCGACATCGATGCGACGAATCTTCCCCTATCATGGCTACTCAAACTTCGAAGAACGAATTCTCAGCGTACTAGTCGAGATATGTACAGTCAGCGGAAACGCAATCAATCTCCACCAGAGCAGATCTGCTGAATTCAGCTCTGACTTTCATTAATCCCATCGTTACAGCTCCATTCTCCGCCATCCAGAATCTCTTTGACTATCTGGGAAAGAATCCCCAGACCGCCGCAGCTCTGAACAAAACTTACTCCCTCCGCGGCATCTTTAAGGCTGCTGCCACCACGAATCCAGCATGCGACCAAAAGCTCACAATTGACCTCTCGCCCACGCGGATTGCGAGGATCCCTTCTGCTATAAAAATCGAACTTGCTCCACACGGATTGGTTGAAATTCTTGCTTTCTTCGACGCGATCTCTCAACACTATGTTGTACAGATCTTGACCCTTCTCAGCACCATTGCTGGGCGCGATCTAATCTCTTTGCACGCCAATTTCAATGTGAACTTTCGGATCATTGACTACACCACCGCGACTGCATCTCCTCAGAGCCTAAACGGCTGCGGCGCGCACACCGACTACGGCACATTCAGCATAATCTTTCAAGACGGCAATGCAGGCCTCGAGATGGAGGCGCCTGAGGCACCGGGAACGTGGGTTTCCGTGCCTGGCAATGCGACTGTACTGCTGTGTGGGTGGTGTGCAGTGGTGCTGAGTGGAGGCAAGGTAATGGCAGTACGTCACCGTGTTCGACGCGTGCCTGGAGTGCGACGCCTATCAGCAGTGTTGTTTGTGGCACCAGATTTAAATGTAAAGTTGGCGCCCGCAGAGAGAGTAGATGCATTCTCAGATCCGGTAAATCAGGGTCTTTTTGATGTGCGATGGTTCAAGGAGGAGATGGGGAAGAAATGGCGATACCGAGAAGGGAATGGAAAGCTCGAGGATGATGGGCTCGAGCAGGATCATGACATAGGTGATTTAATTTGGAAGAGCTTCTAAAGTTTAGGAATTCACGAATACTTTGTCTACTTTGTCCCTGAGCTGGTGTTAGAGTTTTGCCGATGAAAAGCCGGCCGCGAAAGAGGCCACTGTTGCATTTCCATGGCAAATTAACCTACAGTTGCCCAACGGCAGTGTGCGACGCGACGCGATGACCAGTCCCGTCTCTTTTACCCAAGAGTTTTTTGGCCCTCAAGAGCAGTACTACCTTGATGATGCACAGTTTGTAGGTACACCATTGAACGCCTCCCAAACGCCAGAAGCTTCCCGCCGCGGTTTCACGGAACGAACGAGGAGGAGCGCTTCCTACCAACGGGCACAATTGAAACCAGACAGACTCCGGTTCCTCCAACTAGATGAGTGGGACGAGCATAACAGCTACGAAGAGGATGTGCCCACCTGCCTCCACTACTCGATTGAGTGGAAGGTCTTCCTCAACAACAAGGTAGTACATCGGGATACAGAGCAGGACGTTGTTCTGATACCCGTCGGATATTGGCATACGATTCTGATGCCAAAGCTTGGTCGGCTTCTGGAAAGGAAGTTTGGGTCGGACCGCCAGATGCGATGTGATGACACTAATGCCACAGTTTCAGTAACAGACCGTACGCAGCGTGATCTGGTCAAGAGCTTTGAGGATCTGAATATTGATTGGTCTATTATATCAAAACAACTCGAGGAGTGGGGGGAAAGGCTTCGTTCTGGGAAGAAGCTCCGGGTTGAACTATCCTTCAATTACGTAGATTCGAACCTGACTGTTGGCCCAAGTGCTGGTCCAATACAGCGTGGAAAGCAGCGTGGCACTGCCACGCAGAGGATGCTTTGTGACCGAGCAATGCAACTTGATGCAGAACAGAATTCTACTGGAAACCCTTCGGCCTGGCAAGAGGTGTATGCATTGATGCGATGTCCAGGTCCACCGTGTGACCTTGGACCTCATTGCTGGCGCGACTCTTATGGCAAGAAACACTATAAATTGAGGACTCATCACTTAAGAGCCTTAGTCGAATTTGTAGAGCAAGGCAACACCCTAAGAGACCATGACGACGTCCCTGATGCAATTCGTGAGCAGTTGCAGCTAGAGGAACGCCAACGACTGGATCGACACGCTAAAAGCACCACAACGTCCACTCCGAACTATCCCCCCATTACCATTACTAACGTCTTACCTCAATCCCACCTCTCACCCCCAGTGAACGCGATGGAGACCACACAAGCACCTATGGCGCGCGCTTCAAGCCATCTTGAGATTCCCGGCTCGCGAGATCGGGCTGTGCGGGTGTATAGTGAATGGCAACAATCGAAAGTCGATGATGATATGCTTAAGGAGGAATTTCAGAGAGCATGCGAGGTTGCGTTGCAAGATGGACTGGACTTGGAGCAGGTACACGACGACCAGGACCCTACTTTCTTCATTAAGAACGGTGTCAAACGAGGAGTTGCAAGACGGTTCGTTAGCGACATTGAGAGCTGGGCGAAGCGGTATAAGTTGTCTTATGATGAAAATATAAATCAGGGTCGCTAGCTGCTAGCTTGGTATATCAACACAGATCCTCCACAGTAATGCCAGCATGATTAAAGTGGCCTCTTGCACTTTGTTGTCTTGCCCCTACAACAGCGAGGCACCATTCTAGAAACTTGCTAAACACTTGTTGTGGATTACTCTCGTAATCTTGCCAATGTTTTCTAATGAAACCTTTGAGCTCTGCGAAAAATTCTTCGATTGGATTAAGATCTGGTGAATACGGAGGCAGGTAGAGTAGCTTGACGCCCGCCTCAAAGCACATCTGTTTTATTCGACCAGTGTGGTGGATTGAGGCGTTGTCCATCACAAGGACAGAATTGGGTCTAGGAAATGGTTCGCAGTAATGAAGGGTCTGCTCGATGAAGTCTTCGTACATAGCACTATCAGTGGTCCCTTGAAATACCAGTGAATGGAGCACGCCTTCTTGACAATATGCAGGTAGTATCTGATACCTACGATCGCGATGAAACTTTGCTATTTGAACAGGCGCTACACCGAGAGGAGACCAGCCAGTTCGCCGGAAACCGATTCGTTTATCACACCCAGACTCATCGACATATACGAGGTGGTAGGATTTAAAACCAGAGAGATTATGCAAGTAGAAGTCTCGAAGGTCTTGGTTCCGCTGTTGAGCTACTTGGCGTATGACTTTCTTTGTCCATCGTGCCTCTTTGAGAGCGAGGCTGATTGTGGACGCATGTACAAGCACGCCGAATTCGTCGTGTAGGAATGTCACCATCTCGTCTTGGTATAGTTTAGGCTTCTCTAGTAGATGCTCACAAAGAGCGTCAAGCATTATAGGAGTGATTCGTCGCCGTGGGCCTGGGGGGCCATTCGGGGGAGCTCGAGTCGTACCGAAGCATCGAAGGTTCGAGCGAATGGACCTCACGGAGCGGGCACTGCAGCCGGCGACCCTTGCAATCTGCATATTGTTCAGCCTTTTACTCAGAATCATGTCTCGAATCATGTCATGCTGCGAGTCTGCGAGGTTGGGAGCCATTGCATGGCAGTGTTACAGTATGTTGGGAAAGGAATGGTACTCATGACACCAGCTTGTTGCGAGACCCGGCGCTGTCGCACGTGACATCGGACTCTCGGCACAATGGCGGATTGACTTGACGATGAGAAACTCCTACAGCGCACTGACGAGTGATCCACGCCGAGGGGACAGTACAGAATAGAATTCTCTTTGCAAGCAACATATAAAGTTATAAGCTATCTCTAGCTAACAGCGGTTAAGTTTAAGAGTGTTCCACGAAGTCAGTGTACTCTACTTTGCTACTTGCATCGCTGTTTTGCTTGGGTTCAAGCCGCCACCAAGCTGGAGCGCCTCCAGAGGGCTTTGGAGATTGCGCACCAAGCCGCAGTCTAGAGAATGATTGGCGTATAGAGGATAGGGTTAGAATGGTTTATTGCTTATAACCGCTCATAGACAATTCAACATCGTCTGTTTTTCAAACATCTGTAATTTCTGCTGCTATAATCAATCGAATTAAGCGCAATTTATCCTTTTCACACCATTGATTTCACATGACCTAGAAGATCTCACGAAGCAGACACTTCAGGAGGCCACCCGCATAAGCAGATTCCTTCGGAAAGAATTTCCCAGTCTCAAGCGTATACTCCCTCAATTCGTCCAAAGACGTAAACAGCTCTACATCCTGCCCTGAGATATCCACGAGGTCAACAAGGATCCGATGAGAGGGGACTTCGAGGACATATCTCATTACTCAGTGCAAGAGAACGCGCGAGTGGTTAAAAAGCTACATCATCTCCAACGCAGAAGTCTTGTCTCGTTGAACTAGGGCATCGCTCCAGTAGGCATACATATATATGAGATAGGAATGTGTTTGGTCGTGTGCAGAGATGGTACCAGTGGAAGCTAAAGCCCGGTAAGGAAGGATGCAGTCGACAGAACTGTATTAGTGGAGACATGTTTTTGTCCACCCCAAATTCGCGCTCGTCTATGATATACTCACGACATTGACTTGGGCTTGCGTGAAACAACCCCTATATGCTTGGCTTCCTAGTGACTGACCCAATTTATTCACGACAATCCTATCTCTCCACGCCACGCCCGACTTTTCTTTCTATTGTCCCTCCAACTAGATAGCAAGTGGTAACAGAACAGGATCAACCAAAAGAACAATACTACAGCCACACACACGACAATGAAAAAGAGTGCTGCTACCGTGAAGCCATACGATGCGTCTCCAAAACCGCGGTTGTTCTGTAGATTTGAAGTGGCCAGACCGACTTGCAACGCGGAGAGAGCAACAGATAAGATAGCAAATACAACCAACAACCATCTGAAATAGCCACCAAAGTATGCAGCATACCACGTTGAACCCAATCGATACCCGCGGATAAAGCGTCGCAGCGAGTACGCAGGCGGTATGAAACGGTATATGCTATTGAGCCGACTCAACCGCAACTCTCCATATTGATATCGTTTGTTCATATTGCTCAATATACCAAGATCGATGCTGTCAAGGAAAGTCTCGATGAACCTGACCCAGTCAAGCCAACAGATGTCGTGCGGCAGTAGACCAGTGTCCTTCGCAATATCAAGATCGCAGGGGTAGCACACGAGCCAAACATATGAGAAGAGAAAACCACAAGCAGAACGATAGAGATCCTCCTTTTCGCAGAGGTGCTTGACCCACCAGTTGTGATCGAGGAGATACTGAGGAAGCGGCTTCACGAAGAGCTGCGTCTCAAGCCACACCAAATGTTCGTCTGGATCCTCGGTAATCATTAGACTACGACCAAGTTGTTTCTGCTTATGCAACGGCCTTGCAGCAGTTGGACGACCAGCAAGCCAGAGGTGTTGATGAATGTCATTTAGCCTTGGGGTCTTGAGGTCCAGGTCTAGATAGTCGGTAGGTGACTTCTGGGGCCGCACGGTGAAGTCTTGACGGAAGATAACCGCTGGCAGACTGTTCACAGCCGGTATTGTTGTGGTCGAAGCAGCCTTGCGAGGACTAATTGGTGAGATCGGTGGCAGTCTCTTCCTAGCAGGCAGCTGTTCGGCCATAGGCTTAGCTGCATCGCCTGTTGTCACTGTTGGATCGCTCTCTGAAGGCATGGCAGAATTTACTATACAACGTGAGGAGTAAGGTAGCTCTCAAGGTGGTGACTGTAGAGCAGCGCGTGTATGAAGGATCGAAATCTCAAATGCAGTCGCGTCCATTCAAGATACAACGATACTCGAACAAGCCCCACAAGGCGGCGTAACAGTCTGGTCAGACGAATGAGCGTGGTCCTGCAGGCGCTCAGCAGCGCGTCCCCCGCTCAGCCTCGCCCATCCACCACGACGACGATCCAGCTGCAGCAGCGGCCTGCTTCTCTCCGCGATGAGACCATCCAGCGTGCATTTGCTTGTTGGCACGCTGCCAACGTGCCCATCGACGCTGGCAGAGACGTCTCTTTACCCACCTCGTCCACCATGACAAGAGGCCCCGTTTTCCGCGTGGCCGGGCTGCAAGCCTCGCGACCTGACGACAAGCTCAAGGCGGCGCTGACGGCCGCCATCGACGCCAATTTATCTGAGAACGAGCGATCCACAATCACCATCCAGGCAGACATAGTGCCGTCCTGCTACGACCATGACGGACAAAGAGTCGCGCTGGTCGAGTTTGGCGGTGGGGTGCCTAGTTTCCTGGCAGCGCTAACGGCAGATCCACTGGCTAGCTGGCAGATCGAGATGGGAGACGACGACGTCAACTTCGACCGTCACTTCTTCGGCTTCACCCAGCTATACGCGCCCAAGGCGGACGCGTGCATCACAGCAGAGTACGTAGCATGCAGTCTCGCACTGCTATCTCGAGACTCCGGCTAGCTGCTGACATCGTGCACCCAGTGTCATCGCCATCACCGGCCTCGATGGGCACGCATATGGCTCGTGGAGAGGGAAAGGCAACCTGGGACGAATGTGGCTGCGCGATTTCCTGAGCAAAGACCTGCCATGCTGCCGCACGATGATCTACGGGTACAACTCGAAGCTGTTGAGCCGCGGGACGAATACGATCAAGGACTACGGTCGGGAGTTGTTGGAAGAGATTAGGAAGATCCGACATACAGAGCAGGTAAGGGAGATCGCTTTATGCCGCTACGAAGCATAGCTGATAATGTAATTATGGCAGCTATGGCAACGACCGCTCTTCTTTATTGCACACAGCTTTGGTGGCATTATACTCGTGCATGTAGGTCTGCGCGCTAGCACTGTATACTACTATTACTTATACCCGGAGCAGTCTCTCGTTAAGGCGGCCCAGAGCAACGTGGAAGATGATGCTGCCCTCCCTGCCATCTACAAGGCTACCTACGGCATGCTTTTCTTTGCGACTCCGCACAAGGGCTTGGTAGTCAGCGACATTCGGAAAATGCTGATGGGACAGACGGAGCATCCGCGCAATGCACTGCTCAACCAGATCAACGAGCAGTCGGACCTTCTGGATCACCAGCTGGACGCTTTCAGAAACATTATCCGCGACCGTAAAATCGTGAGCTTCTACGAGAGGGGACAGACAAGACAGCTGGAATATGTAGGTGTTCCTGCACATGAGCAAAGCTCAGAGGATCTGCTAACATAGGTACAACAGAACAGCGAGAGCCAGCGCTGGCGGAGAAGCGGTGACTATGTCATGGCAGTGGGCACCGACTCGGCCCTCCTCCAACTCCCAGACGCTGTAGAGGAGAAGGTTCCTCAAAACGCCGATCACTCGATGATTGTCAAGTTCGACGCCAGGACGGATGCTGGATACACCAGCGCGCGTGACAAGCTGCAACGGTACGAGAGGAATGCTCTAAGCGTGGTAGAAGGTCGATTTTGTAGGTAGATCTCTATATTGTGATTTGCTAGAATAAATTATGATTTGTTCCTACACGTATAGCTAATTATTGCCGGTCGTAGTGCACGCAGTCAGCACTGCGACTAAGCCGTTAGGAAACATACATTGGATGGTCCCTCGCGCTGTCAACAACTTATTTACTGGGCGTTCTCAGCTTCTCCAACGTATTCAGAGCGCCTTACACGATGACAGCGCAAGCAATTCCAGACGCAAGCAACTCGTGATCACTGGCTTGGCCGGTATAGGCAAGAGCGAGGTGTGCCTGCAGGTCGCGAATACATTACGACAAGAGTGCGTTGTGTTATCAGAATTATCCTAGCGTCAGCTAATAACCTACAGCTTCTGGGGAGTGTTTTGGGTTGACGTTGGTAGCCATGCTACTGCTAAGAACGGCTTCCTAGCAATAGCGAAAGCGCTTGGGTCTCCTGCCAACGGCATCGAAGACTCGCTCTTGGCGCTAGCGAGCACGCAGCGACAGTGGCTGCTTATTTTGGACAACGCCGACGACCCAAAATTCGACTATAGTCAGTACATCCCATCTGGCATCGAGGGTGCCGTGATTATAACGTCCCGCATACGGCAGTGCAGCCACTACAGCACTGTGCTTGCGGAGTTACTAGATGCCCTAGATGTACAGCATTCCGTGCAGCTTCTGCTCAAAGCTGCGCGAGTCCCAGAGGATCAGCGGCAGCGCTGCGACAAGCCGGCGCAGGATATAGTGCGCCTGCTGGGGTCTCACACGCTCGCGCTGATCCAGGCTGGCGCATACATTGCAGAAGGGTACTGTTTGCTGGACGAGTATCCTGCAAAGTATCAGCGTCAGCGCAAGCGGCTTCTTGAGCACTCCTCAGATCAAGAGCAGTCGCGGTATCGAGATGTGCACGCTACGTTTGAAGCGTCTGCAGAGGTTCTTGAAGGTGACAAGGCTGGGCAAGATGCGCTAGGCCTTCTCGAGATCCTGGCAACTCTATCGTCGAGTTTGCTCCCGCTTCAGCTGTTTGCAGACGCATGGCAAGGGGCTACGCGTGTGCTGAAGGCTGGCGCAAAGTCGAACGCGATAGATGAAATGGAACGATGGCACGCACTTCAGCTGCCGGGCTTTGTCGACGGGGAGGCGGATGAGTGGGACGACTATCGGCTGAAGAAGGCCAGCGCTCTCCTCACGTCGCTTTCATTAGTGACGAGGAGTTCGACAGGCGGTGTTGACGGCTTGTCTATGCATCCTTTGACGCACGCATGGGCGAGGGACCGGCTGAAGGCGCAACAGCGGCAGCAGGCGTGGGTGTCCGCTAGCTGCATGCTTGCACTGTCACGAGGCCAGTCAGAGACGTGGCAGGCGTACGAGAGGGAGCTGCGGCCGCACGTGCAGTCTCTCCTCGCACTTTGTATGAAGACCGTGTTCTCGTTGGGACCACGAAAGGAAATGTTGGCGATCTTGCTCCAATGTGGCTGGGCGCTGAACGCAATGAGAGAAGACGTCAAGCTCGAGGCCTTGCTTCTTGAGATCTACGATCAAGTCGAGATTACGCCAGAGGATCCATCCGAAGAACATGTGGCGATCTGGGATCTTGCGGGCAGGAATGCAGGATACATGGGCCACGCAAGGCAGGCAGTGGCACTGCTAGAGCACGTTGTCAAGGTCCAAGAGACTACGCTGGCCGAGACTCACCCCGATCGACTGGCATCGCAGCATGAGCTTGCTGGAGCATACCACGCCAACGGACAGACGACAGAGGCAGTGACGCTGCTAGAGCACGTCGT